GCGTCCCCAGCGCTGCGCCCGGCCCAGCGCGCACGGAGCAGACGGGCCGCGCGTCCAGGACACGGCAGGGCTCTGGGTGACTTAGCGTCTCACTAAAGCATGAAATGTGAATTTTACTGTTGTAAATATGACTTACGGTATTTAAAGTATGTTCTTCTCTGTGAGAAGGTTCGTTGTTGTTAATACAAGGTATAATAAAAGTCCGGTAGCCCCTCTCCTCCCGGTGTGACGAGCCGAGGCAACACGTTAGCTTTTGTTTTTCATAAACAAGCTCAGGCCGAGGTGTTGAACATTCACATGAAAATCACAGTCCAAAATATTAAAGTTCTTTCCCAAGCTATGTGTAATAACATAGTGAAAATTGTTTAGTGCTAGCTACATGTATTTATCCAGAAACTGTGGTTTCTGGAGAAACGAACATCCTGGCCAAGATTTTCTACTTTTGTCCCCACAAATTGATACTTTTAAAATGTAACATAAATTTTAAAAAGTCTTCAATAAACAACCCAGTTGAAGTGTACAATATAAAAGTAAAAAGTCTTAAGCAGCTTGTTCCCCCCCCCCCGAAATTTTGTGCATAGTTTTACTTAAGGAATGTTCTAGAACATCCTTGCAAATTTAAGAGGCAGATAGATTGCACGCACCATACGACTTTTACTTTGAGATGTGAAAGGATTGGTTCCATCAGCCTTTCGCAGATGTTGGATGAGTCTAAGGAGACACGGGGTGCAGAACTTGGGCACAGGAGAGTCACCTTCTAACAGTTTTGTATCACGCCCTATAACGCTATACACGTGCGAAGGAAACCTCCTCAAAGAAATATTAAGCATGTTTTGTTGCTTACAAGTGTTTTTTGTGAATTGCCTGGTTGTAATTAAATTCTGACCCTGATAGTGATACGGTTTAAAGAAGCAGTTGTACCAACTGAGATTCTTTTGGAGATTATAATAAATAAATACGTTCACTCAGAGTTCCATATTCTCGGTTTTTGGAGAACGGTGTGCTTTTTGTTTGTTTCAGGTCATCTGCTGTATCTTTTTCGACTGGAATATTGAAAATTTTTATTTTGATATGTCAAATTTAGAGAAAAGGTGCAAGAATAGTACACAGCCTTGGGTCTGCTTAGTGGAGAATGGTGTTCAGAAACCAAGCTGTAGGTAGGAGGCGTACTCAAAACCTCCCTGTTTGTATGGGTGGTGGGAGACAGCATTGCTTCCTGTTTGTAAATTCTCTAGAATGTATGTATCAGTCACTGGGAGAGCTTGAAAACACAGTTTCTGATCCCGTAGGTCTGGGGTGGGGGGCACATTTCTACAAAGCTCCTCAGTGATGCTGACTGCCTGTGTGAGGAAACACTTCAAGGAGCAATAGTCCCCAGAAGCGAGGTCACGGTTTGCTATTTGCAAGTTGTTAAGAGTATTTTTGGATGATGTCAGAAAGACACGACTGTCATTTTCACAGGCCTGATGGAACAGTGATTCCCAGCTGAGGCAGAGATGGCGCAGAAAAAGAGCATCTGGTTCAAACTTCTGAAGTGTTCTGTTTCACCAACAGAAGTAGCAATAGTTCTGTTTCACCAAGTATACTAACCAATGCCTAAGAAGTGATGTTTTCAGATAGTATTTTACTTGTGAAAGAGGCTCTTCTCCCATGTACACAATGAGACAACACCTAGATTTACATATAAATGAATGTATATATACACACACATATATATACATACACACGAACACATTTACCACCCATGTTCATGGGGGGAAACTAAAGCCTCATTCACAAGTTAGCACTATTAACATAATATCAGAGCATAAAATCACTCATCCTTTACTTCAGGCTCCCCATCCAGAACACTGATTCTGGCTTATGTTTTACTGAAACATAATTCACGTATTTTAAAATCTGCCTTGTATTTTAGTATGTTCACGGAGAGCACCCATCACTGCTCTCGAGTGAAAGAAACCACATACCCACTTGCATTCACTTCCTATTTTCTGCCCCCAATCCCTGGCAACCATGATATGGATTTGCCTATTCTGGGTGTTAATGGAATCCTACAATATATGTATGTGCCTCTGTCTGGCTTTTTTCACTTAGCATGCTTTCAGGGTTCATCCATATTGTACCATGAGTCAGTACTCCACTCCTGTTTGATGGCCAAATAATATACCATTGTACAGATATACCACATTTTGTTTATCCATGCATCAGCTGATGGGCATTTCGGTGGTTTCCACTTTGGGGCTGTTACTAATAATGCCAATAGCATGATTATTAATAATGCTGTACAAATTTTTGTGTTAACATGTTTTCAATTCTATATATCTATCTGGAGTGATATTACTGGGTCATACGATAACTATGTTTAATTTTTTTGAGGACCTGCAAATTTTCCCAAGTGGCTGCTTCATTTTACAGTCCCACTAGCAATGTATACGGGTTTCAATTTCTCTGCTTCCTTACTAACACTTGTTACTGTCCATGTTTCTGATTATAGTCATCCTAACCGGTGTGAAGTGGTCACACTGTGGTTTTTATTTGCATTTCCCTGTTTGACTAGACACTGAGAATCTTTGCATATGGTATTGGCCATTTGTATATTTTACCTGGAAAAACATCTATTCAAATCATTTTAACTGGGTTATATGTATTAGTTTGCTAGGGTTGTCATAACAAATACCACAGACTGGACAACTTCAACAGAAATGCATTTTCTCAGTTTTGGAAGCTGAAAGTCCAAGATCAAGGTGCTGGCAGATTTGTTCTTGGTGAGTGCTCTCTTTCTGGTTTGCCAATGGCCACCTTCTTGCTGTATTGTCACATGGCCTTTTCTCTGTGCACACACATCCCTGGTCTCTCTCTTCTTATAAAGACATTAGTCATATTAGATTAGGGCCGAACCTTATGACCTCATTGAACCTTATTTCTTTTAAGGCCCTATCTCCAAATAGTCCCATTGGGGGTTTGAGCTTTACCATATGAATGGGGGGGGTTACAATTCAGTCCATAACAATGCCTTTATTGTTGGGTATGCCTTATTCTTATAAAAACAGCCTTCAGTGCCCAACTGGTGTGGCTCAGCAGTTGAGCATCGACCTATGGTCCAGGACGCGGCAGTTCTATTTCTGGTCAGGACACATGTCCAGGTATCGGGCTTGATCCCCAGCAGGGGGTGTACAGGAGACAGCTTATCAATGACTCTCATTATTGATGTTTCTATCTCTCCTCTCCCTCTCTCTAAATTTTTTTTTTAAAGTATATATATAAAATAGCCTTCAGCCATCCCACTTCTGGGAATATACCCTAATAATACCAAAACACCAATCAGAAAGAATATATGCACCCCTATGTTCTTAGCATTATTTACAACAGCCAAGATCTGGTAACAGCCCCAGTGCCCATCAGGAGATGAGTGGATAAAAAAACTGTGGCACATTTACACCATGGAATACTATGCAGCTGTAAGAAAGACGGAACTTTTACCCTTCGCAACAGCATGGATGGACCTGGAGATTATTATGCTAAGTGAAATAAGCCAGTCAGAGAAAGACAAGTATCACATGGTCTCACTTATATGTCAAATCTAATGAACAAAATAAACTGACGAACAAAATGGAACCAGAAGCATGGATACATGGAACAGACTGGTGGGTGTGAGAGGAGGGGTGTGGGGGTGACTGGATAAAGAAGGTGAAGAGATTAGCAAAAGAACATACGTACACCCCATGGACATGGACAATAGTGTGGTGAAGGCAAGAGGGAGAGCCAGAGGGGGGTGGACAAGTGGGGGGGGAGGAAATGGGGGTTATCTGCAATAATGTCAACATTAAACAAATTTTAATAAAAAAAAAATTTGACAGGAGGCTAGAGTATTTAATGCAGTAAAGAGACCCCCCCCCCCAAAAAAAGCCAAAGAAGAAAAACTCTCAATATTACTTGTAATCCACATATATACCTTATTCCACATTTATTCATAAGGCTTACCAACTATGTTATGCAGATAGTTTCTTGTTCTGGGAAACTTGTTCAAGGCCATCTAGAGCTTCAAATTTTCTATATAGTAAAGTTCTGATTGTCTAACTGGCTGTTATTAGATCTTACCCGGTCCCAATAGGATATAGCAGACAAGTAATTTTAACACCATCTCATAATCTTGAAGACGATCTAAACAACCAGGTCAAATATTTTAGAAAATATTTTGATATTGGTAGAACTATTAAGGTGGTTTGACCAGAAGACCATGGAAAGCAAGAGTCCTTCCTCAAAGCACAGCCACCTCTATCTAAAAGCTTCTTACTGGAGCCACAAATACAAAGGGCCAGGGAAAATCAAGGCAAATTTGTATTTACTGACAGCTATGCCTTTGGCCATAAACCTTAATGCAGAAATACTCATTTTCCCTTAATTACTTCTACTAGTTTCAAAACGAGCCATGAAGTTTGCCCTCTTCCACCACTCCCCCCACACCAAACCTGAGTCTAGATGCTGCAAGTATCTCATGACTGCTCTCCAGGTACACCAGAAATGGAACCAGACCAAAGAGACTCAGCGAGAGAACATTTGACCCTTATAGCCTACAAGGTCAATATACAAAAATCTATTGTTTTTCTAAGTAGTACTATCAAATTGGAAAATAAGATTTTAAAAGCACTCTGTAATAGCATCAGGAATATTAAATATTTAGGGATAAACTTAAAAATATGGGAAGATCTACTCACAGAAAACTAAAAAGCATTATGAAAGTAGACCTAAAACAATGCAGTTACGCCACGATCATGGATTCAAAGACTTGACATTAAGATGGCAATTCTTCCGACACTGACTTATAGATTCAACACAATTCTAATCAAAATCCCGGCAGACTTTAAATAGAGATAAGTTCATTCTAAAAGATATATAGAAAGACAAACAAGAATAGCAAAATTATTTTTTTGGGCAGGGGGAACAGAGTTAGAAAAATCACACTGATTTTTAAGATTACAGTTTTTAAGCTAGTAATCAAGACAGTGTGTTACTGGCATAAGAACAGATCAGTGTAACAGAATACACAGCTTAGATAAACCTTACAGTACATGGTAAACTGATTTTCAACAAAGATGCCAAGGTATTTCAACAGGAAAGGGCAGTTTTTCAACAAATAGCGCTTGAGTAACTGAATATAAAAAAACAAAAAAACAAAAACTCAACCTTTACCTTCTACCATACATAAAATGAACTTGAAATAGTTAAAAGCTAAAACTGTAAAACTTCTAGAAGAAAAGAGAAAATCTTTCAATTTTGGGTAAGTACAGAGTTCCCAGCCCACAGAAAGTATAACCATAAAAGCAAGCAATATATTAAAATTGGACTGCATCAAAATTAAAAACTTCTGCTCTTCAAAAGGTATCAAGAAAACAAAAATGCAAGCCACTGACAGGGACAAAATATTTATAATACATAGATCTCATAAAGGATTTTTATCCAGAACATAGAAAAAATTTCTTACAGCTCAATAAAAAGATAACCCCAATAAAAAATGGGCAAAATATGTGAACAGGCACTACCCTAAAGAAGATACAAATGTCAAATAAGCACATAAAAAAGGTGCGCAATATCATCAGGGAAGTGCATATTAAAACCACAATGAGATACCACTACACATCCACTGAAGTGCCTCAAATTAAAAACAACAGCAATACCAAGCATTGACAAGGAGATGGAGCAACTGAAACTTTAATACATTGCTGGTAGAAATGCAAACTGGAAGTGTCAGTTTCCTCTAAAGTTACACATATACTTACCATAAGACTCAGCAATTCCACCCCCAGGTATTTACCCAAGAGAAGTGAAAACATATATCCACACACGGACTTGTGACATATATACATAGCAGCTTTATTCATAACAGATCAAAACTCAAGATATTCATCAACAACCTAGATGTCCATCAACAATATGTAAAGCTACAAATTGTGGTATATCCATTCAATGGAATAATACTCAGCAATAAAAAGGAACATATTACTGATATGCACAGTAACATGAATGAATCACAACATGGATTTCAAAAGTATTAGATCGAGCCAAAAATGTCAGACACAAAGTATATATTGTATTTGAAATTCTAGAAAAGTCAAATTTACAGTCACAGGAAGCAGAATAGTGCTGGTTGCTGGGGTGGAGGGGAAGACTGCAAATGAGCCTACGAGAACTTTTTGGATGAGGGAAATATCCTACATCTTAATGGTAATGGCGATTGTGTAATTGTTCACATGTCTAAACTCCTCAAACTGTAAATTTATAACGCATGTTTTATTGTATGTAAATTATACTTTAAGAAAGTTAACCATGTTCCCAGAAGACATCATGGTTCGTCTCACACTCTTTCCTTCCAATTAAACCTAGAGTCAATAGTGTGGTCTATCACAATTCCAAGTCAGTAGATGTTTTCAATATCCAAATGTTTACATGTTACCTTATAATTAACATTACCCATTTTCAATAGAATTTCCATGGTTTAAAAAAAATCTGAAATTAGAAAAAATTTTCCAATTTGGTTTTCGTCTCGTGCTTGCTTTGAAATATAATAATCTGCATTAACCTTTGTTGGGGTTAGAGGGAGGCACATAATATCCTCTGTCCCCTCCTGACTTCTGAGCCACACGAGAGACAAAAGGAGTCAGGCAGATGGAGAATCGGCATGTCAGGTTTACTGCTGAAGAAGTCTAGGTTAGAGATGTAATTTACGTTGGTGCCAACAATGGCCACCTAATGCCAAACCCAGAATTAGACCTCTCATGAAGCGTGGGCAGCCCTGCACAACCACAGAGGCAGAGCCTTCACTGCCGAGCTGACATCTCTCTAAATTCTGGCTCTCTGCAGCCGCGATCCACCCAAAAGGAGAGAAAGGAGCTTTTATGTCCAGTTATTTATCCTAAACTCCCTCTCCTGAGGAGGTGGGGGGGAAGAGAGAGATCAGGATTCCTTGGTTAATGGGTGAAGCAGCACTGCGCAAGGAAGCCATCTCTACCCTCTGCCTTCCCAACAAAGTTAAGATCAAGTTTCCCAACCTTTCTTCCACCTCGGCACACATGCCAGGTGAAGTTCACACACAGTAAGGCACGATTTCATGGTACGCTAGCTATAGGCCACCCCTTCTCTCCCACTCAAGTGAGCATATTGAATTGCAAGTGACTAAAGTGGCATATTTCAGTTTGCTTTGGTAATGAGTAAATCATGTACAAATTTCTGTACTGGTTAAAAAAAAATTACACCTTCTCACTTCTAAAATACCATCAATTACAAAATACACCACCAGCTTAATACACTCTCAGAAAAAAACACATTTAACATTGCCATCGATTTGAAGATGATTACGGAACTTTGGTTCTTGCGTCAAATCACAGCTCATTTAGATAAATTATGTCATAAGATCAAAGTCCAGAGTCAACTTAGGAGGGCTTCTGACTCACAAAGCCTGAAATTAAAGAAATGACTGGCCCTTTTCCTGCTGCAGGAGAAGGTAATGAAACAAGCTTTTGGTACCATGACATAAAATATAATTTTCAAACTAAAAAGGCTATACTGATCAGTTATAATCATGCAAACTCCAGCTTTCTGAGACCAACCTTTTTAAGTCTTCACTATACTTTTGCATATAACATCAATTTAAAAGCTTTTCATACTTACACTACTACCATAAAATGTTGTACACAGACCCCAACTGCAATAGATGTAAGTTTTGTGATCTACACCTTGCATGAGTTTTCAATGTTTATGCAGCATTTGGTAGCGGATTTAAGATAAATGCTCTACAATGTAAGAAACTATTGTCTAGAAAATAACACATGATTCTCATTATCGGGCATGGATTGGATGTAGTGTTCTGACTAATGAGTTCCTATGCCATACAACTTTCAACCAAGAAAAATACAAATTACATTCAATATAATTTTAGTGTGTAGTGTAGTTTCAGAAAGTGTACTGAACATCTTTATACTGCTACCATGAATATCGATTCTCTTTCTTTCAGATTCAAAAGAGTTTGTTATTAGTTAGTAAGTTTAGTAAACGTCAGTGTATCAGTACTCGCAGCCTTAGAAAATCCATTTGCCCTCTCTCTTCACCACGGAAGAGTATCGGCTAAGCGCCTTTTGGGGCCTGGGGAAATACGCGGCCTTTCTTCTCTATAATTCGGTATTTCCTTTTCTCCTCCACCTTATGTGTAAAGCACCTTGTGTCTCATATGAGTAAGAAGACGAGCCTGGCCGACCGATGTCAATTCAGTGGAAACACTGGGTTCCTAGTGGCGACTGGCACCCCATCCTGGGTCTTGCCTCTTTTGGGGCTGAGGCATAGACTTTACAACAGGAACAACCCCCAACTGAGAACCATCTGTCCTAATATCAAAAGCAGTGACTGCTGAATTTCAGATAAAGAAAAGATTACAAAGAAGTTCTCTTCCTTCTTAAATCAGAAGAAACTGAGGTTAAATATCTCCAAGCTAATTCAAGGTCTTCATAGAAAAATCTAGCACTTAGTACTCCATATGCAAGAGACCATACAAAGTGCTTCACATACTTTCACATAAGAAAAAATAAATCTTTTTCAAAAGCTAACAACACAAAATAATAGGCAAATCTTTAAAATGCAGAAAAAACTTTATTTGCTGATTACACAATAAACAAATACCCATTAACACAACACACCAACTTCTCTAGATACCCAACTATCCACCCTTTGAGAATATTTCTTAGTAAACAAAATAAAATGTAATTAATTTGTTTTTTGGATCATTCTAAAACTAACCTCTCCAACCAGAGCTAATTTTCTAATATCACTTTGGGAGGAAATGCAATACTTTCTAAGACAAGTGCTGACTTCTCTGACTCTGAAAAAAGAGGTAAACATTCCACTAAAAGAAAAACTTTAAAAATCATCTCAGAAAAATATAAACCATTACTTACATGCTCCAACAGGGGAAAATTTCTTTAAATAAATTAACTTACTTTTATCTCCAACAAGGATAAAATTAATTTTATACCAATAATAGCTTCCTGAGTGTCCAGAGTAACAGTACCCAACTGTCCCATATAATTGTCCCACAATGTGTAAACTATAAAAATAATAATTCACATTAGCAATGACAATATTGATTTGTGGATATAACTGTGCTTTTCAATGACTATTTCTTCAATATATCTTTCTCTCTTTGTAAGATTCTACCATAATCACATTTTAGTTTCCATGTATGCTGTGCCTGTAATCCCACTGGAACTCTAATAACATCCCTGTTTGTTTGTTTAGAAAGATACAATTTTGTTATTTAAAACTGTGATTATTTCTCATTTTACTGAGCAGCTCCAAACAAGTTATCCAGAAAAGGAATTCCCAATCATCAGCTGAAAAGTTATAAGCAAAAGGTATTTTCAAGGTTTTTAAACTTTTATTTGTTTTTAAAACACGTTTTAGAGAGAGAGGAAGGGAGAGGAAGAGAGAGAGAGAAACACTGACCGGCTTCCTCCTGTACACCCCCTATTGGGGATCAAGCCTGCAACCTGGGCATGTGCCCTGACCAGGAATCGAACCAGCGGCCTCTTGGTGCACGAGATGACACCCAACCAACTGAGCCACACCATCCAGGGTGAGGTTTTCAAGCTTTTAAAAATAAAGAAAATACTCCTTTTGACTGGGACAACACTGCAGTACAATTTATGATGTAGCTATAAGAGCCACTCATTTAAAAAATGCACATCTTAAAAATGACTCGCTTGTGGTAAAGACTATCTACTTTAACAATTAAAAAAATAAAACCATCACTGTTACAATTTATCAGAACTCCCCACATCCAATAAATACTGAAGGTGGCAACTACCATGGTCTTAATAATTTTATAGTCAAAACAAGCATAAATCAGAATTAAGGGTATCTACAGGAACCGTCCGGAACGTACACATTTGCATGCATTTCCAGCTGAACTTGCTAAGAACCTACATATAACCAAATGACAACTTTGGATCAAAATGAGCATCAGAAATACTCAAGCTTTGTGACAAAGTTACTCTAATGAAACAAGAAAAGTAGAAGAGTGACTAGTAACAGCAGTGTATTTTTAGGAGGGAGAGAAATCACCCACTTCCTTTATCATAAAAAGGTCAACGAGTCAACATTTTAATAACACTGGCCAAGTTATTCACTATTCAAGCATCACTTCCAAGTCTTGCCTTTAAAATGCATTCACTCATATATCTGGATTAAGTTTATTAATAAAAACCCACTGTAGTCAGAATTCTAATCTTAAGTTTAAATCATAACTTATCAAAGCATAGTCCAAACACTATATAATAATTCTACCCTTTAGTTTTTATATGCCTCATCTGAAAAACTGATTTTACAAACAGGAGTTTGACCCTGTTTCTCCAGAGTAAATGCCCGTCTGCCCTGAACTTTAAGTGGCAATCAAAAGGTAGATTCAGAGAGCTCCCGCTAAGCTTCATCGGGCTCTGATAAAAACAGCGCCATCTGGGGGGGCAGCACCATCTTCCTTCTCACTCACAGTCTCCACAGTCCCAGAAGCGGACACAATAACCATGGTTTTATTTGCTGAAACCGGCTTTTGTTTCTCAGCAATAGCTGCGCAAACAGCAACAATCTCATCACTTTCAAAGTCATAGTCAGGAATGGACTTTGGTGAGACATGTGTCACTTCTGCTGGTGCTTCATCTTTTTTAATCCTCCGGGCTGCCTTCTGCTGCTCCTGAAGCTTTCTTGCCCAAGAAAGGTCTTCTTTCCATATCTCGGGGTTCATTGGATAGATATGAAGGGCTACTTGGAAACTTCGAATTGCCTAGGGAAAGAAAAGGTCAGCTTTTTTTGTTTGCTTTGTTTTAAAAAAATGAATGTATTTAACATAATCCACAATAGCGATCTATATATTTATATATATGTATATATTATCCATGTATAGTATCTATATATACATAGGTATCTTTTTTTAACATAACAGACTCTAAGGATGGAAGTTAGGGCTGTGATCTAACCACTGATGATGATTATGATGAAAAAAAACAAAGGTTATAAAAGTGTGAAAGTGACAAACTGCTGAAGAGGGTTAAAAGCCCATCAAAATAGCCCTGGCCAGTTTTGCTCAGTGGTTAGAGCATCAGCCTGCGGACTGAAGGGTCCTGGGTTTGATTCCAGCCAAGGGCACGGACCTCGGTTACAGGCTCGATGCCTGGCCCTGGTCGGAGCATGTGTGGGAGGCAACAATCGATGCATGTCTCACATCGATGTTTCTCCCCCCCCACTCTCTCTGAAAAGCAATGGGAAAAATATCCTCGGGTGGGGATTAAAAAAAAAATAGAGGTGCCGACATTATAGTTCAAAACGAGGCAGACACACCGTTCAGCTTTTGCAGATCAGCAAATACATAAAACCTAGGGATTTCCTGGGCTAAAGCACAGTCAGGAGGTACCAGGAATGCACAACACTGAAGCCAAGAGCTTAGGCCACAGTAATGATAACACACAGCGAGTGTCATGGGAGACAAGGCAGGCGTTGCATGATCATAAAAGGGTCACTTCCCAGAATTACATAACACTTGCAAATACATATGCACCCAACGCCAGAACACCTAAGCATATAAAGTAAACACTGACACAACGGAAGGAAAGAACATCAATAAGGAAGCAGAAGACTCGGACAACATTATAGAGCAACAGGACCAAACAGACCCACACAGAACCTTTCACCCCACAGCAGCAGGACAGACATCTTCTCAACACACATGGAACATTTTCCAGCACAGATCACATGCTACGTCACAACACAAGTCTTAACAAATGTAAAAGACATGCCAACCATCTTTTCTGACTCAAATGGAATAAAATCAATAGCAAAAAGATAACTGGAAAACTCACAAATATGTAGAAATTAAACAACACACTCTTGAACAATCAGTAGGTTCAAAAGGAAATCAAAAGAAACTAAAATATATCTTGACACAAATGAAAATGAAAATACACTAAAACTATGGGATGCAGCAAAAGCAGAACTAAGAGGGAAGTTTATAGCGCTGAATGCCTATGTTAAAAAAGATCTCAAGTTAAAAAAATAACCTACCTTTGCACCTCAAATAATTAGAAAATGAAGAACCAAGCCCATATTCATTTTCCAACATACACACCCAATTCTGCATAAAAATCTAAATAATTACTCATAGAGATATGCCCAACTATTGACTTTTAATTTATTGCCTGTTCTATTTAACTGTGTATTTTCTTATGTTAATATATATGGGGTGGGGCAAAGTAGGTTTACAGTTGTGACTTCGAAAAATAGAGTTTATTCTTGTATTATTTATTAATTATTGTACTATTTTCCGTAAGAACTGTAAACCAACTTTTGCCCACCCCTTAGTAAGAACTGTTAGAAATTTTAGCTTGCTTTCATATATTTTTCATAGTATCCCTTCATTATGACATTGACTAAAGTAATTTTTAACCACTCGTCTTTCAGAAGAACAGATTAAGTTTACATAAAAATTACACGTTTAGATTTTTTCAAACAGATCCCTAAAAAACATTAAATGAGGAAAAATTAACACTTCCAGTTCCCCCAAGGGTCTCACAGCATAATGGAAAGAATCGTATCGATAGATAAAGGAATAACAGTTTAACAACTAGTGTTCTTATATAAAAACTTAAAGTTTTGTCCTGGCCAGGTGGCTCTGTTGGTTGGAGTGTTGTCCCATATATGCCAAAAGGCTGCAGGTTCGATCCCAGTCAGGGCGCATACCCAGGCTGCAGGTTCCATCCATCCCAGTCAGGGCGCATACCCAGGCTGCAGGTTCCATCCATCCCAGTCAGGGCGCATACCCAGGCTGCAGGTTCCATCCCTCCCAGTCAGGGCGCATACCCAGGCTGCAGGTTCCATCCATCCCAGTCAGGGCGCATACCCAGGCTGCAGGTTCCATCCATCCCAGTCAGGGCGCATACCCAGGCTGCAGGTTCCATCCATCCCAGTCAGGGCGCATACCCAGGCTGCAGGTTCCATCCATCCCAGTCAGGGCGCATACCCAGGCTGCAGGTTCCATCCATCCCAGTCAGGGCGCATACCCAGGCTGCAGGTTCCATCCATCCCAGTCAGGGCGCATACCCAGGCTGCAGGTTCCATCCATCCCAGTCAGGGCGCATACCCAGGCTGCAGGTTCCATCCATCCCAGTCAGGGCGCATACCCAGGCTGCAGGTTCCATCCATCCCAGTCAGGGCGCATACCCAGGCTGCAGGTTCCATCCATCCCAGTCAGGGCGCATACCCAGGCTGCAGGTTCCATCCCAGTCAGGGCGCATACCCAGGCTGCAGGTTCCATCCCAGTCAGGGCGCATACCCAGGCTGCAGGTTCCATCCCAGTCAGGGCGCATATGGAGGTAACTGATCGATGTTTCTCTCTTTCTCTCTCCCTCCCTTCCTGCCTCTCTAAAACCAATAAACCTATCTTTGGGCAAAGATTTTTTAAAAACTTAAAATTCTGAATAAGTTTACTTTTATTGGTTGATTCAAAGTATCTGTTATCCCACCTACAGTGTATTTTCTTTCTTTATAGGACAATTTTTTGCTAAATATTCTGTCCTAGAGGTTTTTTTCCATTACCATAGGCACTTACAACCAAAAGCATAATGATCTGTAAGTTTTAATAAAGGAGAAATGGGGAAAAGTACTACATAAGCTTTTGTTTGTTTTCCTGTTAACCTATTAGAAAACCAAATTCCTTGAACTTTTGGGTTCCGCTGATCAAAACATGTCAAAACAAAATTTTAGCATTATAATCATCTGACTTCCTTACCAAGACTATCTCTCCCAATCCCAGCTGAGCACGCCCCAGAGTCTGCCAAGACTCCCACGAGTGTGGATTTCTCTGCACAGCCATTTCTGCTGCATGAACAGCAGGGAACATTTCATGAAGCGACATTAGGACCTACAGTAAAAAGAAAACAAAACCTGTCAGTAACATTCATAAACTAGTAAACTACTAACAGATAACCATACATAAATAACCCTTTTCATTTTTAAAAGTGTATTTTTAGTCTGGTAAACATAGCATTTCAGTGTTTCTGATCCCATCCACTGCCATTCAGGGTCAGGAATTATATTCTTCCTACTCCTGAAATACTATAAAAATGTATACTAGTCCCTGCCCAATTACTGAACCCTACCGTCCCTCTGGTCAAAACCACAGTCACACTCTGGCCATGGTAACTCAGAATTATTTGATCTCTCAATTCCACTTCTATTTATTCTGTGTACAATGTGGATTTTAGGGTACCACAGGTCTTGCTGTTAAACTAGGTAGATGTAAATTTGTTCAACCACCCATCTGGTCCCCAGTGAACATCCTCCTGCTATAAAAACCATGCAAACACACCAACAGGCCTCCCCACAACTGGGTTCTTCACATCACACATCAGAAAAACCAGGGAGTTCCAGAACCCTCCACTTCCAATCCATGGAAAAGAGCTGGATATTATCTATATTCTTTGGGAGCACATACATTTCACAAAATTTGTGAAACAACCACCATTACCAAGTTCCAAATTAAACAACTCGTTTCATACAGTTCACCACAAATCCTGACTTTAATATATACATTTTCAAGAATGAAAATTAGCTTATCCAAATGAAGGTCCTCATACCCCTCTTATTCAAGAGACATAATCTGGGTTTTTCCTGGATAAACTAAAATCACAACTAATGAAGAATGCACCCCATGTTTAACCTCACCATCAGGAAGGGTGGTAGGTGTGTGGGTGAAGGCGGCACTGCAACTGCTCCCTGCCAAAAATATGCTCAAGGCGCTGAGACTTGAAGTCTCTTGGATAACTTAATCCAAGGGCTCAGAGGTTTTCTTTATAAACTTTCCCACAAAATATTAGACATGTATTTTTAAATACAATTGTTATTTTTAAATTATTCATAACTTGAGTCTATTTAACCTTTTGCTAAGGGCTAGGCCATTTTCAGAGAAATGTCATCATCTAGAACCCAATCCATCAGAGGAAACTAAGTTATTGCTGAGCCCACTACAATTAATTTCCAAGGGAAGCAAACACATTTCATTTATTAAGGAGAGCACCAGGGACTTTTTAAAAGATGTCCATCTGCTCATAACTTACCAGTTAGGTTGAAATAACAGTTAACTTCATTGTGAAGGTAAACAAATTTCTAATTCAATACATAAGGAAAAGCCACAAATAATATAAAACTTTTTTCCCCCAAATAAATTGTATTTTAAGAATAAAATGCTATTTTGGCTCATCATGCTCACCAAACAAACACAGTGCAGTTTCATAATGAAAGGGGCCTTCTTCCGTCCTTACCTGTGATTTCATCTCATATAGGGTAGCATCATTTGGGGTTAACTGTAGTGCTTCGTCCCACTTCTGAATCGCCTCTCGATATCTGTGGTTGTTAAGGTTACATTTATATCATATTTCCAATGAGTCCGTGAGAGTACATGATCAAATTTAAAGACCAGATACTAGGGAATAATTGTTTATCAAGCAATATCTCTATTTAAGAACTGATAATAATGATGTTACAAAAAGCAGGAAAATTTAAGAGATAAAGGGAAAGGAGAGCAAAAGAGAAAAAAGCAAAATATAAATAAAAGAGATCTTGAAAATCTGTCTCCAGTATTTTGTTTCCTGGGCTGAGAAATCACCAGAAGAATTTCTCTTTTTTCATCAACCTCAATGTCTACATATGTTGTCACTCATTTTAGAAGTATTATAAAGAACCTTTCTGAGGACTTTACAATCCAGCTGCAACCCTGGGCTCTAGACTGCAGCAATCTGGCTGACAGAGGCGACAATTTAAGAAGTTGCCAGGTAATTTGGTACAGACTCTTCAGTTTTCAGTTTCCTTATCTATGAGCCCCGTGAAAAGAGACCCTGTCTGGTTCATCACTATTAACACAGACAAGTTCGTAAGACATGGGTCAGATAAAGGAAAACCAGGATGGAGATGGTCACTGCCACTACCACCTTTCACTAAGGTTCTCCTAGTCATATCTCTCTTTTGAGCTCCAAAGCCAACTACCATCTCCACCAAGATGTCCCCAAGACATCTCAAACTCAATATGCCCAAAACTGATCTAGCACACTCCATGCCCAATCTGTAGCATAGAAGCACTCTTCCTTTTTTAAATAAATTTCAGGAATGACTAAGTCCTACACATTATCCAAAGCAGTCATCTCTATGGCACCCTTCACAAAGGTTAACTCACGTACACTTTAATATCTCTATGAGGAGAAAGTTCTAATTAACAGAACATTTTTCATTGTACCTTTCTGTATTTTACCTTTCCCCCAGTGCTACTGGTTCTGCTTGGTAGAGCTAAACATAAAATACATAATCCAGCAGTTTTCATTCCTGGTTATATACAGAATGATCTATGGAGATTATGGAGGGGAACACACACACACACACACACACACACACACACACACACACACACACACACGTGTCCCTGCCTCAGATCAATTAAAACAGAAATTCCCAGAGCAGGACCCAGGCATCTGCATTTTTTAAAAGTTCCCCAGGTAATGCTAATAAAAACCAGGGGTATGAAGCATCTTTAATCTCTCTCAGAGTATATGAAGCCCCATTGTGTGCTATCTTCTCTGAATCACTTCTTGTTACCTATTTTCCAGACCCTTCATGTCCTCTGTATGTGTGCTTGTAATTTCCTACCTAGTATGAGAATCCAAACCAAACATAAGCACCAAAATGTGAGCTGATCTGTACTGATTTGTAAGCAGGGAGTAGAGAACTGAAGAAATAAGGGAAGAATTTGGTAGAAATACAAAGTCCAAGAACATAAAAACGTACATTCTCTCTGTTTTCACCCTGCTATAGAATAGTTCCTTTACTATAGTAAATAATACAAATGGGCAACACCATTTCCGGGGTCTTATGCCATCTCAGCACAGGGCAAATGGGCTATGGCCAGCTCAGAGTGAGTTTGCCCTGGCTGGCACAGTTAGGGCCCACAGAAGGGAGCGTGCTTTACACACCCTGCCTTAACTGCCACTGTCGGCTGTAGCAGTGGCTGTTGTCATCTTGTAGTATCAGGCTATCTGTAACTATACACTGAAGATTCACCCACAAAGGCTGGCTGGCCGTCCACGCAACACATCTGAATATGCAGAGACAGCTACCAGATCTGCAAGGACCACTGTTTTCAAAACCTTTGTAAGGGCCAAAGATAGTGACTCTTCCTTCAAAAATTTATAAATACAAATAACAAACCTCTAAACAAATGCTTATTAGGAAAAGTTCTTTACAGGCTGAAAACAGATGATGAATGTGACAGGAATACTATAATTTTTTAAATAATCACTTATGAACAATAGATCTAGGCAAGACCACCAGTGGGTGCTCAAGTGCTCTGCTCCTCCTGGCCTACAAAGAAAGGGTAACCCCACTGTGGTCAGAGGAAACTTGGCACCTAGCAGATCAATGGCCTCTCAGAATTATGCTCTCACAGAGCACAATGTAGATACACTCCAAGCATATCTACTAATTCAACTTCAGTCTGGAACATGCTGAGCAGACACAGCCCTGCTGCAGCTGCTGGATGGGAAGCATTAAAGATAAAAACTTGGTTTAAAGTCACTGTGGTTAATAAGTGACCAAAGTCTGATCAGCCAGTTTAAAGCAACCTTAACAGTATCCAACTGAACCAGCACAAGGAAGGAAGCAAAAGCAACAGCTCCAGGGGTTGCGCAAGGGCAGGGTAAGATAATGAATGCCCTGCGCCTGCACTGAGGTAAGGAACAGCTGGTGATCCAGCCGAATAAGTTAGATAGCACACTCATTACCAGATACAAATGTCAGTGTTTGGCTACTTTGCTCCTAATTAAATTTCTAATTTACTATAGCTTCAAGTTTAATGAGCTCTGTAGTTATCAGCTTATTCACTTAATAAATATTTATTGAGCACCTACCCTGGGACAGGTAGGGCTCTAAGAACTGAGGATGCAGCATTCAACAAGATATAATCAGACCTGAGGTGGGAGCAGGTGGAAGGGGGTAAAGGGGGGATAAATGGTAACGGAAGGAGACTTAACTTTGAGTGTTGAACATACAATACAATATGCAGATGATGTATTATAGAATTGTACACTTGGAACCTATATAATTTTATTAACCAATTTCACCCCAATAAATTCAATAAAATTTTTTTTAAAAAGATATAAACAGACCTTCCTTTTCTAAATCTTACATTCTAGAACATTTGTGTGTAAAGGTGGCAGAAAAAGACAACAAACATAAGTTAGAATACGACAAGTGCCATGACAAAAATCAAATGGGGGGATGTGATAGGGAGTGAGCGGGTGGCCACCCAGAACGCATGGTCAGGAAAGGTCTCTAGGAGGACATTTGAGCAGAGATCTGAATGTTAAAAAGTCCTCAGCCAACTGAAGATCTGGAGAAAGTTCATTCCAGACAAAGTGCAAAAAGAACCCAAGGCAGGACTGAACACCCCATGTTTTGAGGAAAGGAAAGAAAACCAGTGTGGCTATAGCAGGAGGAAGGCAAGCGAGAGGCGAGAGGTAGGCCACAGCCACAATCACTGAGGCCCTAGCAGGCCATGGCTATGAGGATGGGTTTAACCATATGTGTAGGGGGGGATCCCTAGACTCTTCCCCACCAGGCCTTAACCCACTCACACTGCTGGGTGTGCGATCCAGTCCCTCCAGAGCATCCACAGGTCAACCTGGCTGGCGTCGAGCTGGGATGGTCATTCATTGTCAGTTAGCACCACACATGGGCTCTTTGGTCTGTGCGGACACAGCAGCTGCAGGGCCTTATGGTCTCAAAGGTAGGGAACTGAGGGTGACTGGGGAAGACAAGCTCTGGTCGCACATGAACCTGCTGAGTTGATGCCTGGCTGTTGGGCCTAAGTAACTGGGTAAAGGGTGGGGCCTTTTACTGAATAGGGAAGAATGGAAAGGACCAGATGTTTGGGAGAAAAATCAGGAATTCTGCTCAGTACATGTTACGTTTGAGATACTAATTAGACATCCAAGTGGGTCTAAAGCAAGCATCGGAGATTGGAGAGTCTGGGGTTCAGGTGAGGAGACAGCACTGCAGACAGTCATCGGTCTAGAGATGGTGCTGAGAGCCGGAGACCATGCAAGTTTATGATGGAAAAGACTGTGTGTGGAAAGGACAAGTACTTTCTAAATACTGTGGCCCACCAATATTTAGAAATAAGCAAAAGAAAAGACCAAGCAAAGAAAATGAAGGAGTGGACACTGAAACAAAGGACAGGCACAACACTGTTGTAGATTAGGAAGGGAGTGGTCAACTGTGCTGCCCGTGAGAGGGACAGTACATGAGAACAGAGATAAAACCTTTTAAGAGTGGGTCAGCAGATTAGTGGGGACAGAGGATGGACTGAGAATGGACTGAGAGGATGATTCACCAATGGAGCTCGTGCTGAAGGGGAGCAGAGAAATGGTAGGGCATGTGGAGTCAAGGGAAGCTTTTAAATGGATGCTGTCAGGGTTTGCTTGTAGTGAGAAGGAGCCAAAAGAGAGGGAGGAACACATGACATCAAAATGAAGGTCACTGTCATTACATATAGCCAGGCTGGCACTCGGGACATTGTGTGTCACATGGCCAAATCACCCCCAAGTTCACTTTGCTAGAAATACTTTTCTAGACAGGAGACAAATTCATGGTAAATTCTAATTATATTCCTGCTTCACACACACACTAATTCTCAAAGAAAAAAACAGACCAACACAATCAAATATCACCACCTAGTGGTTGAAACCTTAAGAGCCAACATATCAAAGTTAGGACCCACACTGTAACTACTGAGAAAGTATATCCTAGTTAGTAATAATTCTAGAAAAAGGTGTCTGAACAAAATCACTTACAAAAAACATTGATACTACATGAAATGTACCAATCACACATAAAATCCTAAAATACAATATCTAAAGTGCATGTACTGAGTGCTTACTAGGTGCTAGGTGGCATGCTAAACTTACACAGGCACTTGCTCTTTACTCACCATTTTACATCTGAGGAAACTGATACGTAAAAAGCTGGTAACCTGCCAAACTTTATACAGATAGAAATGGTAAAGCTAGGCCCTGAACAGAGATAAAATGACTTCAAAATCCTCATGCAAACACTAGGCTCACTATACCGTCTCTATAAAGCACTCAAATTATCTAGAGGGTGAGTAGAAGAGTAAACCACTTTTTGGTTACAAAGAATCATGAATACTACAATCCTTCAGATTTAAAAACCATTCCATTGCAAACCCAATTTTCTAAGAGTGGTGATAGTCGCTAATGAGGCCAACCGGAGAGCAGGAGACTGATGCGACAGAACCGAGTCGCCTTTGGAGGGAGGCTGGTATGAACACTTGGATTGTG